CTAACGCAGCTCGCTGCTGCGAGGACTGTACCGCGTCCAACGTCAATAGAACCTCACCGTCGCCCCTCACCGGCCGCAGCTCTCTGACTCAGAACTTTAATTGGAGAACAAAAAAGCTGAGAAGATCCAATTGACCCGGAAGCGGACATCAACGCGACGCGGACGACGACTGTCGTACGAATGGTAATGGCGAAACGTAAACCTCCTCCGAATGAAATTGACCGTAAGGGGAAAGACGAAAATTCATTCGATCGGCCGACTCTTCGCTCTCGCTCGCGCCGAACGCCGGTCCGCGAGCTTCGGTATTGCGGAAAAAATTTCACTCGAGGAAAATAGCGGCCATGAAATATGTTCGAGAAGGACGACACGGAAAAAAGGAGGAGAGGAAGAGAGAGAGAGAGAGAGAGAGAGAGAGAGAGACGCGGGTATCGACGACGGGATACGATGATGATGAGAAACGAGGCACTTTCGAGAATCGATAGAGAAAACGCGACTCGTCGTCGCGGGGCCGCGCGAGGAAGGCGAGATAAAGAGAGTAGGGAGAAGAGAGGAGAAGGAGCAGAAGGAAGGGGAGAAGTAGGAGAATGACGATGACGACGACGAGTGCAGGTCCCCGCGGGGCTTCAAGGGGACTCTCGTCGCCGTGGCAGCACGTGTGTAGCAGAAGCGAACTCGGGGCCCCAGTTCGGCCTGTGGCTCGTAAAGCCTTTCATAAAAGCTTTCATAAAACGTTTCACGATCTCGTCGCACCGAGGGAATCCAGCGCGCCGATCAACGTCTCGCAAGATTCGCGGCGTCGATCTTCTTCTGCTCCTTCCACTTGCTCTCCGCGCCATCCTACGCCGCGGCAGAAAATATTCCACGCCCGAGAACGCGAGATATGCCATTTTATGTATTCTCGTGAAAATTTGACGGCGTGAAACAGCGCAATTAAGCGCCGTCATTGGCGGTGACGCTGCGCGAGAGAGAGAGAGAGAGAGAGAGAGTATTTGAAAGTTGGCGCGACGTAAATGGCTCGAAGGATATCACGAATTCTCTCGTCGTTTTCTATCTTTAATATCAAGAAAATGGCAACGCGAACAAGCTCGCTCTCTCTCTCTCTCTCTCTTTCCTCCTTCTCTTCTCCCCTCCCCTCTCTCTCTCTCTCTTTCTCTCGCTCTATTGTTCTCGCATTTTTCAGTCGCGCATTAAAATTCATCGAGAGAGACACCGCGAGCCACAATTCAGCGCGGCCGGCCGAACACCTGAAGTCTTCAACGCCACTCGTGATCCGCTGCGAGAGGGCTCTTTGTCCCCGAGCGAGGAGAGGAAAGGAAGCTCCGATTTCGATCTCGCAACGATTCGTCCTCGGCAAGACCGTCATACCTAACTCATGCGAGCGAGGTACGCGCGCTCCGGAGACATAAAAGCTCGTAACCAGGCTGCGATCCAGACTCCCCTCCTCCCGGCGTCCCTCGCCCCGATACCGCCGATTCCCCGTTCCTTTAGTTAGTCGCTACCAACGTCTCGAATTAAACCCGACCGGCAGATACGACAGATTCGTTGAATGGCGCTCGAGTTAGCTGGCTTTTTGAATCCGGCGTCTTTCTTAACGAAGGGTTTTCTCGCTGGCGTTGTTTGAAGAGAGACAGAGAGAGAGAGAGAGAGAGAGAGAGAGAGAGAGAGAGCGCGGAGGCTCGCTCGCTTTTCGAAACGGGGACTTATTGTCGCGGGGGGCTTTATTACAGAGAGGGACGGTCGGTATTTTTCGTCGAGGTTTGTAGCGAGCGACGCGCCAGATAGAGATCTAGAAACAACCGGATCGAGAAACCGCCCCGAGCTCTGAATTTCTTCTCCTATCGACGCGGCGCGGCGCGGCGCGTCTGAGACACGTGTGTGTACCTTTTCGAGTAGATAATCATCCGGTATAACGTCGATTACTTTTTAAGGCGTCGCTAAATTGGATGACGATCTATATAGAGAAGGGAAGAGAGAGAGAGAGAGAGAGAGAGAGAGAGAGTGAGTGAGATAGCCGTCGATCGCGCGGCGGCCGGTCCGCCGGCCGATTTCGAGGACGCAGCGGATTTTCTCGCCCGACGGGTGGCATTCGACGATCATTCTTCCGAGTCGGCGCTGCGGACGGATATCGTTAAAAAACGTAACCGAGCCGGGAGAATCGTGCTATCAGTTAATGAATCTGGCCCCTGCGACGGGACGACGCTCGGGGGCACGAGAGGAGGAGGCCTGTCTCTCGGAGTCTCCGCGGGCCCTGACAATGGAGGCGTCTGACGAATTTCGAAAAGGACAAAAATAAAAAATGATTCTGCGCGCGCGCGCGCGCGCGCGCACGCACGCACGCGGGCGCTAGCGCGAGAGAGGAAGCGGATGGAGTGAAAGAGAAGAGATACTCCCTCCCTCTCTCTCTCTCTCTCTCTCTCTCTCTCTCTCTCTCTCTCTCTCTCTCTCTCTCTGCCTCTCCTATTCGCTCCTTCCAGCGTCTGCGTGCCTGCCCGCTGTCCGTCCGACTGTCCGTCTTCTCTTTTCATCCTTACTGCCTTTTATCCGGGTGGAATGATTAATGGGTTCACGGAGGCACCGCGGTGTCTGCCCCTTCGTCCCCTCGCTCGAGCCTCCCTTCGATCCTCCGAAGCCGTCTCCTTCCCTCTTCTTCCGCCCGTGCTCGCATGGTCGGCTTTTCTGGTTTTCTTCGCGCCGGATTATCGGTCCGCTCTCGCTCTCAGCGTGACGATCGCGTGTATGACACACTCTGTTCTCTCTCTCACTCTCTCTCTCTCTCTCTCTCTCTCTCTCTCTCTCTCTCTCTCTCTCTCTCTCTCACACCTTTTCTCTCCCTTCGGTGCACGTCCCTTTAATATCGCGCGCGCGCACGCGGTGCCACGAAATGGAGCGATCGACTGAGCTCGCAGAGCCGCTCGCAGATCGCTTTGACAGCCGATCGTATCGTGCGCTTAGAGAGAATGGTCATATAGGTCACGGATGTTTAAATTTACGCGTTTATTAACTGGTACGAGGAAAATATGAGTGACGCGCGCTTGGTCAGCGAGGTCTCGGGGGATCGAGTCCTCTCTCGCGCTCGTCGGATACGCGGATAATACGGAATTTCATATTTCCCCGAGGTTAACGCGAAACGATCGTATATTCCGAACGATACAGACAAATACGTAATAACATATTTACTCGCGCACTCGAGTCGATGCAAAGTTCAGCGGAGGCGAATGACGTCCGCGGAGAAGTACTGTTCTCCTGGCTTTTTTTTCTGCCGTCACGTATAACACGTGTCATTGTCGAGAGGCGCGTGTTAGCGCGCTTTAAACTCTTTTGCATGATAAATTGCGATTTTCGTATCGATCGCGACGATACGTCGCGCCGCGAGAGCCTGTCTTTTGTTCTTTGTCACGTAGGTGGCGACCAGCTGGTAGACGCAACAATGAGAACGCGACGGCGGGTAGTTTTTCGATTGCCGTCATTCAATAACATTTTACGCATATTGTGTCACATGTTGTATCAATATCATCAAGGAGACCAAGTAGATGACGATTAATTTATTGTAGCTTAAAAAATTTCAAACCTATTCGCCGTTGCGACTTTCGTCGAGGACGCTTGAAAGAACAAGCGAGCGAGCGAGAGAGAGAGAGAGAGAGAGAGAGAGAGAGAAACAGAAAGAGGAGGCGGCGTGCAATTCAGAATTGCACAAGCTGATTCACAATTGTCTCGGTCCTACCTCAGCCGCTTCGTAGCAAATCGCTCCGTTGAAATCGTAATTAAGAGATTACCGTAATACGCGTTTCAAAGACAGGCCTTCTCGCAGGAGACGCGATCGAAACGATTCACGCGCGATCGCGCGCGCGCGCGAGGTGCTAAGAGGTAAGAGCGCGCAACCTAAAGCAGCGACTCGAGAATTCCTGGCTGTAGGGAATTCTCGAGAGCGTCAACCCACGCTCGTCGCACGCGCAACGGGAAACGATGACGCTGGCTGATCTCGAAGGCATCCATCGATCGCGGGTCGGGCAGTCGACGCTTAGCGCAGCCGGACCGACCGACTTTATGAGTTATAAGTCGGCCATCTTGCGCGAGAGCCATCACATATTCACGTGCGCACATATGCGATGCACCGGCAATATGTAAGTGCCACATTCTGTTCTGGTGCACGTACAGTCCCGGCCGAAAGCTCCGGCCGGCTCGCGCTCGGGGAGTCCCTCATCCGGAGTGCGCGACTCGCGTATCGCGAGAAGTGAATTCGTTTATCGCGATACCGGCTGACGTAACCCGCCGCTCTCGGCAGAGGCTTCTAATTCACATCGTATCGGACGACCATCGCGGCTGCTACCGCGCTCGATATCGGCTCGAGAACCCCCGACAGAAGAAAACGGCCTTCCCCCGTCGCCCGTCCTCCTCCCGGTTGATTCGGTCGCGAATTTCACCGGGGGTGTTCAGCAAAAGCGCGACGACGTCGCGCGAAGCTTTGCGTCGAGAGCCATAAATCTGCCATAAATCGGCCAGAGAGAGAGAGAGAGAGAGAGAGAGAGAGAGAGAGAGAGAGAGAGAGAGAGAGGCGCGCGATTGATCCCCGGCCAAGCTCGATCGCGAGTGCCGAGCAGCCGCGGCCAACGATCGACCCTGCGCCAACCCCGAAATTCAATGCCAACCAATCCGCCGTCTTGCGCCGGAAGATTTTGCCGGATGCCGACGCAGGCGGTTCTCTAATTGCTACTTGAATCGCGAGGAAAGCACGAGCGGGGTTAGGATCGTCGATCATTTCAATAGCCATCTATATTAATTGAAGACAGCGAGAGAGAGAGAGAGATAGAGAGATAGAGAGATAGAGAGAGAGAGAGAGAGAGAGAGAGAGAGAGAGAGAGGGAAGGAGAGTTTCAGAAACGCAACGATGACTTTGATCTTTCGGACGACGACGGTTGGAAGGAACCGTCGGGAATTATATACAAAAGTTGCCGATCCGGCTCGGCGTCGACGAGATTCCGCGGATTTTGGAAGGTACTTACCTTGAGCCTGCTGACCAACACTCGGGTTGAGGAACGTGGGCGGCAGTTGCCTGCTGACCGACTTCGCCAGCTCGCCTCCTGCCAGTCCGTAGATCGCTAGAAGTTCCTGCATCGTCGACTCCGCGTACTCCCTCATCCCCTCGAAGGGCTTCCGCTCCTCGATCTCGGCCTCGCCGTCCGCGTCGTTGCCCCGCTCGTCCTCAAACTGGGTGTCCTGATCGTCCAAGCGGGACGACTCCGCGTCCAAGACGCCGCTGCCACTCCTCTCCGACGAGTCGGAGTTTGGACTTCTCGCCTGCGCGCGATAATAGATATTTTCGCGTCAATCGTGCCGCGGAAGTGTGAGTTCACGTCCCCACGAGAGAGGAGAATTTATCGCGGGAAAATCGAAATGTACGTAAATCGACGAATTTGATTTCAAAATTGCGATGGAAACTGCGACAAACATTTTCATGGAGAAAAGAAAAGAAGGAAAAAGAGAAAAAGGAAAAGGACAGAAAAAGTGGCTGCTGCGGTTGAAGAAAACAGAATTCCCGGCTCTCGCGGACCTTAAAATTTGAAGAAGCAGAAATTCCGTTCCCCACCCCGATACGAAACACGTACGACGACTCGTTCGCGGTGACGATACGATTAATTCAAGCGATCCTTTTGTCGCGGCTGAGAACAACCGTCGGTCAATCGCGGCGCTTACCTCTGTGCCGGGAGAGTACAGCTTCTGCGACCTCAGCTGCTCCAAGATAAACTTGTGCCTGAGGGAGTCCGCGCTGTCGTCGTCGGCCTCGGACGAGGGCGGCCTGGTGGTGACCGAGAGGTCCATCGGGCTGACCTCGTTGTTGTTTAGCCTCTGCTTCGATCTCTCCTCGGCCGGCAACAGCATCGTCTTCCTCTCGTACTCGAGGATCTCACTGGAGCTCTCCTCCACGACCTCCGGCTCATCGTCGTCCCTCTCGGACTCGTCCGACACCTCCGCCATCCGGCTGCTTATAGGCTTGAAGTTCTTCCGCTTGTTCCGCGGCTTCTGTATGCTGCTGGTGATCTGCAACTGCGCCTGGCTCTCGTACTGGGAGTCGCTGTCCTGATCGGCGGCGCCCCGTCGGGTCGTCGCGTAGTTGTAGACCGAGTCGGAAAGCATGTCCGCTGATGAAAGATGGAATTCATTCGATCGCCGTCTCGTTTGGATTAACGGCTAATCCTAACACCGTGCCATTCCTCGCTTGCCGACATCGCGCGCGTGCTTCTCGAGCGTTTCCGACGAAGGAATCGCCGCGCGCGCGCGCGGTCTCTCACACGCGACCCTTCGCCGTATTCCGGATGAAACAACCCCCTCCCTCCCTCCCTCCCCCCGAGAGGAACCCACCGAGGAAGAATGGAAAGCTGCGGCGAGCCGCGGCCTGCGAGGAGCGGCTGCACTCGTTTTCGCGAGGCGGAGGTGTGACAATGGTCACTAATTCCGAGTAACGAGTACCGCGCGCGAGGCGCGTTTCAAGGCGAGATGGCGCGCAACCGTTGCCCGTTTCTCATATCGCAGTTAATAGATATCAACTTTTAGCGTCAATTACAATCCCGCGAACTCAAGCCGTCCGGCGGACGTTCCCGGAATGGACGCGCCGCGCAGCCGCTCGGCGAATAAGGCGATACTTTTGTTTGAGGGAATTAATCTCGCGATTCGCGGCTGTCCGCGCCGCGCCGCGCCGCACAACAACTGCTTTCACTTGCGACGCCGCGCCGGAACGTTCGGCCGTTCCGCGGAGAGGCCGTTCGCGTAGGACGAATTCTCAGCGCGTTCGCGGAGACTCGTCTCGTCGAACTCGGCTGCCGGGGAAGCCCTTCCCAGCTTGAGCATTCCAGTCGGACGAATCGCCGGGATTCATAATTGTTGCGAGCCGGATCATCATTGTTATCAACGTCGCGCGGGCGGGCGGTCGGGTGGGGGGGGGGTGGGGGAGGGAGGAGACCGCGACGATCGTGCGCGGCTGCTCGGACGATCTCTCCAGGCCGGATATCTCGGATCGGCCTTGTCGTCATTGTTTACGCGCGCGGAATGGACCTTTGGCATTAGAGTAGTATCGCTATCTGATATTCGGCCTGATGCTAAAGAATGCTCTTACGGGGGCCATACGGGCTGGTTACGGCGGACATCTCGAACCTCGCGAACCAGCCGGCTTCTCAGCGCATCCTGCAACAGAAAGCGAAGGCGAACCTGGTTATCCTGGCGTCGAGCGCTCTGCAGAGAGAGAGAGAGAGAGAGAGAGAGAGAGAGAGAGAGAGAGAGAGAGAGAGAGAGAGAGCGGCGAGGCAGCGAGTCGTCGGGCGAGCCGAACCGCCGCGAATTCGCTTCCCACGTGTTCCGCTGACTCGCCGAGTACCGCTTCCAAGGAGCGGCGCTATCTCCCGATTCGCGGGAAACGCGAATCAACGGGCGATATCGTGTATCTTTCTCTCCGCGAAAAAGGAGTCGCGAAAGGAGTTGGCAGTTGCGAGTCGCGCATAGGCGCTCGGCTCGCGTGTCACAATGTATCCGAGCGCACGTCGTCGTAGCGATCGACCTATTTTCGATCGAAATCCGCGCTCCCCGCTGAGGTACACGCTCGACGACGACGATGTTTGCAGGTCTGTACTAGACTCAAGGAGGCAGCTATGCGAGAGAATCGCGAAAACGAGGCGAAAACAAAGGCATGTCGCTGTAACAAAAGCTACGGTGATATATGAGTGCCGCCAGTACGCTGCTCTCTCTCTCTCTCTCTCTCTCTCTCGCTCTTTCTCGCTCTCTCTCTCGCTCGCTCTCTCTCTTTCTCTCGAGCGACCAGCCTGGCGCGATAACGCGCGAGCGCACGACAATTCGTTTCTCGGTTATTGGAATGCAGCCTTTAAGCCCGTTACACGCCGTTGCGTCGCGTCGCGTCGCGTCGCGTCGCGTCGCGTCGCGCCGGCGGCGAAGGTGCGCGTCGACGGAAGAAGGAGATCGAGGCGACGAGACGGGGAGGACACGGTCGATGGCGGGTAAAAATGAGAAATGAGAGAGAGGAACAATAAAAGGAGATGCGGAGAGAGCGCAGGCGGCGTGATAAGCATTAACGTCCGACCAATCGATGGGGTTTATCTCGGTGCGGTTATATCCGCACTAACTGTCATTTCATGGTCTTTCCTTTCTCTCTCTCTCACTCTCTCTCTCTCTCTCTCTCTCTCTCTCTCTCTCTCTCTCTCTCTCTCTTCGTCCTTCTCGCAATGAGAAACGGCGGAATGGAATTTCAATCCGTTGGAAAATGACTTCTTACCGCGCGCGCGCGCGCGCGCGATCGTCTACGTCGCCTCGTACGGCGTTTGCGCCTCTTTTGGCGCGCGGCTTTGACCCCGGCGCGACGCCGAACCGCATCCTTCAGGAACGTGCGTCGCGTCGCATCGCGTCGCGTCGCGTCGCGCCGCGCCGCGCGCGATGAGTAGCCGATGGATGGCTCGTTCGCCACGCACAGTCGGTCCCTTATTAATATCGCGCTTGATTGTGCCCGCTGACGCGGAAAGCAGAAACCGCTCGTCGTCGGCGATGGAATTTTGCGATTTAAACCGGAACCGTTAAAACGCACGGGAGGACCGCACCGGCGATACTCAAGCTCGCCGATCATGCGTGATGAAGCGCGTCGCGCGCTGTCGGGCCCGATGACGATAATTGCCGATCACGAGGTCACTGATGAGCCGAGTCGTAAATAATTAACCTTCCGCGGGGGTCGGGGGTATCGAATCGGCGTGGACCGGTGTCACGCGCCGTAATCCCGACCTGCCCCGCTGCCGCGGGGCTGACTTTCTCTATCATCCTCCTCCTCCTCCTCCTCCTCCTCCTCCTCGAAATTGTGCCGGCGCGGAGCGGCGACGTCGACGGCGGCAACGCCATTCAGACCGATGTGAGCCGGTCAGCCGGTCGTCGAGAAAGATCAACCCCCCCTTCCGCGCGGCCGCGGGTGCGCCGTGCCGGTGGAGAAGTCGCGGGCATCGCTCGCGGGCGCCGCGTTTCGCGAGGAACGGGATGTTCGCAGAGTGGAGGTCTGCTTCCACGGGGCGCTTTGTCCTCGCAGACTTCCTCCATCGATCCGTCGCGATTCGCTCACGGTGGAAGCTCACGGACGGCGGACACGGTAGGTATCCTTTCTTAATTCGGCGATCGCGCTCTATTCTTAGCCGCACGAGTTTGGCAGCGACGACACGTCGCCGACGTCGTCCGTGCGCGGCGCTCAAGCCTTCACAGCCGAGGGATTCCCCGCGAACGACGGCGCGGATGGCGCGCGAGCGAGTCTCCATCCTCTTGTGTGTCCATTGTTATTTCTACCTCTCGCTCGCTCGCGCGCGCGCGCGCCTCGCCGGCGCGGCGCGGCGCATCTCTTGGCATTAAACGGATCTGCAGATTTAAGCAGAAAGATCCGTGCGAATAATCGCCAGTAGGGTCGGTCGAAGTCGAGCGCGCCCTCCGATTGGCGCGAGCGCGCTAGGCGTAGCCGCGAGAATATACGCGCTGGCGGCGACGAGCGGGGATGCAACGTACGATCGGACGATATGTCCGAGGCCCGAGGAAGGAGCGAGAGCGAGAGCGAGCGCGAGCGCGAATGCGAGCGCGCGCGCGCGCACGCGCGCGCGAGCGAGCGAGCTCCTTTTTTCGCCGGCTATACAGAAGGGATAATTAACATCTGTTACAGTACCTATAGCGCGCGGGCCGCCCCGTTTCACCCCACTACTCGGCGCACGGGGCGGACCTTGAATACATTATCACCCTCTCTGTACGTGCACGTTGCATACACACGTGCACCGAATCGTCGAATCGCAGTGCTCGCGATCGACCGTGAACGAAAACCTTTATCTCCTCGCACGTCTCCTCGTCCTGCTCGGTGCTCTTCCCCCTTCTCCCCCTCCCTCTCTCCCCCCTCCTCCCTCTCTCTCTCTCGTTCTCTCTCGCTCGCTCTCTCTCTCTCTCGCTCTCTCTCGCTCTCTCTCGCTCGCTCGCTCGCTCTCTCTCTCTCTCTCTCTCTCTCTCTCTCTCTCTCTCTCTCTCTCTCTCTCTCTCTCGCTCTCTCGCGCCGGGGAGATCTGACGATCTTTCTGTGCGCGGGTTGCGAATCGAATTTTGCCGGCCGGGAACTCTCTCTCTCTCTCTCTCTCTCTCTTTCTCTCTCTCTCTTTCTCTCTCTCTCTCTCTCTCGCCTCTCTTTGTGCCACCCCTCGCGCTGCTGGTCCGCCGCTGGACCAGCGCGAACGCAGCCGGGAGAGAGCAGTCCGTCGCTTTCGTCGCATTCGCGTCGTGAATGCGAGCGCTGATTATTGGCGGATTTAATTTCGCCGGCAAATTCACCGCTATGCGGTGATAAAGTTTCATCCCCTCCTTTGAGAGTTATGCCACACAACGGAGGAAGAATCCGTCGTGTTATCTCGGACCGTCTACGGCTCTCGTCTCGTCTCGGCGGCCTCGACGAATTTCGAAAATTCCCCAGCCGTTAGCCTGAATAGCCGGGATGCCCGGGCTCCCCGAAGTGTCACCGCGAAGCTAGTCGGGAGGAAACCACCAAGTCGAACCGGCCGGGTCGCGCCGTTCCCCGAAATCTTCGGATTCTGCTCTCTACTTTTTTTTTTATCGCTGCTCCAAAGACCGAGTTTGTCGGCAAACAAAACAAGGACCGAGAGAGAGAGAGAGAGAGAGCGAGAGCGAGAGAGAGAGAGAAAATCGGAACACACAGCGTGTTTACCAAACACTCGTCGCCAGACGAATTCGCGCAAAGAGCGGTTCCACAAACCACCCCCTTCGTGAGCTTTCACCGCTCGAAGCGCTCCATGTAGATCGCTCGCGGCCTTTGTTTCGGGTAATTGCAAAAATGCTCGCAAACCACCGCTAACGAGAACACGTCACGCGCTGTTGCTCTTCAATCTGGCCGAGTGATCGGGCTCGTGGTAGAAAAGGAAAAGCGAGACGGCTCGGAGAAACGGGTATTAAGATAATTAAAACTCGCGATAATTAAGACACGCACAATTAATACGGCACCGCGAGCATTAACGTCGTCGGCAGTTCGAAAAGGCAGTTCCCGCCTGTTCCCGTCTCGCCGCGAAATTACACCTCTGCCGCGCGCGTCCGCGCGAGTGAAATTCAAATGAAATCAAGACGGGGGATTAAGAATTCAAATAAAGCAACGTCGAGTCGTGCGACGCGCCGTAACTCGACCCGGTTCTAGCGATTTATTTCACACACGGATACGCGCTTTTTTGGGGAACACTCGCGCGAGCGCGCGCGCGCGCGCGCGCGCGAGGGTTACGGCCGCGAGAGGAAAGCCGCGGTAACTTAACCGACACCGAAGGAGAAGAGACGCGGCGCGGCGCGTCGAAGCCGATGGGATGGGAGTCCGGGACACGGACGGGTTGGGACGGGATGAAACGGTGCGAGACAGCGGCTGGTCCGTGAGAGCGGGCTACCACTCGACATAGCTCGACGCTGATGCCGATGCCAGAAGGAGGAAACAAAAAAGCCGGCGGACGTAACGCGTTCGTTCGTCAAACACTCGAACGTAATGTTGCCAGACTCGGGCTGCTGCAGGGACTCCGCGCGCGCGCGCGACTTCTCGAGTGTCTGCTGCGGAATACCGGGAGATTATTCAAATTTGCCACCGACGGCTTAAAATGTATATTAATCGTCGATCGCTCGCGAGACCGGGGTGACTGAGCGCGGTCGGTGCGACTCTGTTGCTGCTCTCTCACTCTCTCTCTCTCTCTCTCTCTCTCTCTCTCTCTCTCTCTCTCTCTCTCTCTCTCTCTCTCTCTCTCTCTCTCTCTCTCTCTCTCTCTCTCTCTCTCTCTCTCTCTCTCTCTCCGGCCGGAAACCGCTCCGATCCGCGGCGCCGCCGCGCTGCTCGTCGCCGGATAATATACGGATACGAGAGGAGAGCGCGACTTGTGTGTCCCGAGAGAATCGCTCTCTCTCTCTCTCTCTCTCGTCTCTAAATATACGCGACGAGATCCTTAGATCCAGGTGCTCGCGGGGCAGACCTCGCTCGATATCGGAGTCGCCTGATGGTCGCATTGATGTCACTGCACTCCGAAACGCTATCGCGACGTGTGATTGTGTACGTACTGTTGCGGCGGTTCAATGTTAAACTTCTTGGAAAACCGGTTGCCGTCCAATTGTGTTAATGTTACGGTACGGTTGGTTAA